CCCCTGTTTAATGATGGACGGTTTCTTTTCACAAAGATGGCCTCCTTTACTCCTCTCTCAAACCATCGTTCCTCTCCATCAATGTGAATGAGATGGTGTAGAGGTAGGGCAGCTGACTCGGGACCCGAAAGTCCTAGGTTCAATTCCCAGCCATTCCCACATGCCATGGTGTATCTGAGCAAGACACCTAATCCCTAATAGCTCCCCGGGTGTTCACGGAGCTGCCCACTGCTCCACCTGCGTGTATCTCAGGTGCGATGGGTTAAACGCAGAGAACTAGTTTCATCATTGTGTGGGAACAGGGCAGCACGGTGGCGCAACTGGTAGAGCTGCTGCCTCTCAGCGAGAAGGTTGCCAATTCAAATCCCGGTCCAGGGGCCTTTCTGGGTGGAGTTTGCATGTTCTCTCCATGCATGTGTGGGTTTTCTCCAGGTGCTCCAGTTTCCATACATGCATGTTAGACTGATTGGTGACTCTAAATTGTCCCTGGGTGTCCCTGTGATGGACTGGAGACCTGTCCAGGGTGTCTCCCACCCCTCACACTGTGATTGCTGGACATGGGCACTGGCGACCCCTGTGACCCAAAATGGAAGAAGCGGGTAAAAGATAATAGATGGATGTGGGAACATACATCTATGTCAATCTCAGACTTCCCCTCAAGGATGTGCACAGAGAGAGGAACGGTGGTTTGAGAGGGGAGTGAAGGAGGCCATCTTTGTGAAAAGAAACTGTCCATCTCTACCACCACACTGGTTGGTAGTTGCTCTACCAACTGCACCACAGTGCTGATCTTCTTCTGAAAAACAAACCCAGTTTAACTTCCAGTTTCTTTACCAAGTTTTACACGTGGATCTTAAAAGAGAGATATGAGTCGACCAAGATACTCAAATCAACAAACTCAATGGGGACACCATTTGAGGATAAAATCAGAGGAAGAACTGCTGGGACCAACTTCTTGTTTGAAAACAGCATCCCTTTGGTTTTGTTGGCATTTAGGACAAGTTTGAGGCGGAACAAATCAGTCTGGATGATGTTGAATGCAGATTTCAAAAGCTGGAAAGCCTTAGCAACAGTTTTAGCTCGACAATAAACAACTGTGTCATCAGCATAGAAATGTATGGATGCATTAGGGATGTTTTTACCTACATTATGTATGTAGATTGTAAAGAATGATGGATGAATGATGATGATGGCTGGATGATGGTTGGATGGATGGATGGATGATGGATGGATGATGGTTGGATGAATGAATGGATGTTGGTTGGATGGATGGATGGATGGATGATGGATGGATGATGGTTGGATGAATGAATGGATGATGGTTGGATGGATGTATGGACGATGTTTGGATGATGGTTGGATGTATGATGGTTGGATGGATGTATGGACGATGTTTGGATGATGGTTGGATGTATGATGGTTGGATGGAGAGGTTTTGAGCTGAAGTTTTCCATGATCTGGATGACAGTGATTACCAGCACATGATGTCCTCAGTTTTATATATAAAAGTTGAATGATCTGTGGAACAGCGTGTGTTATCAAACATTTCATGAACTTCTAATGAAGCTCTCAGATCATTATTGGATGTTCTTCTTCAACTAACTAACTTTCTGAGTCATCCTGATTCAAGATGGCTGCTACAGCTAAACACACCGTGTCAAAGCCTTTCTTCTGTAATTTTCTAGATATTGTTACGATTAATGTTTCCAAATCGTACATGAAGGAGCTCAGACGCCCTGTGGCCCCCGATCAGCTGCTGCTGGCCCCTGGTCTCCAGCCATGGTCTCTGTGGGAACACCTGAAGGAGGAAGCTTCAAGTCTAACCTCCTGACGTTCACTCACCCTGACCGCCTCGCCTCAGCTCAGTTCTCCGTCTGCTCAAACAACATCTGTCAAACAGTCAGAGACTGTTGCCATGACAACATGAACCAGGGAGCAAGCTTCACTGTTACACGATGATGATGATGCTCTTGTTCAGCCTCCTTTGCAGGTTAATGCGAGACATCGTTCAGAGCAAAAAGAGTGATAACGGCAGCCTTTCATATACCACCCCCCCCCCCAGCGGCTGCAGGAACTATAAAAGCCCTCTCTCCTCCAGCAGAGCTCCTGCATTATTCAGCAGTCCCGAGCAGTAAAAAGACCTCAGTGAGGAGGAAGCAGCTGTGGCCACAAAGCTGCCTTCATGTCTCTCAGAGAGACACGGTGTTTGGACACGCAGGATAAGGATCTGATTGATGCGAGCTCTTCCTGCGGCCCGCGGCACTCCCCCAACTCCATAAGGCATTGATGAAATGAAGCGGACGAAGACTGGAGAGGTGCTGCAGGACACAGAGCTGCCTTCTGCAGGATGAAAATGTCCAGCCATGAGACATCAAACATTTTCATCAGGAAGTCTCTGCAGAGTTGGTAGTCCTCAGCTCACAGGGTGTCCTGCTGTCTTAGGTCCACTGGGTCAGAGACGGAACCAACCAGTCTACAGAAACGTCACGGCACCAGTACCAGCGTTCTCCGATGTTAGGAGATGTGTTCGTGAACAAGACGTAAAGAAAACCTGACAATCTGATCCCGTCAGTCCTTCAGTCTCTGAGTTGTGTCAACAGTTCAGAGATGGAGAAGGTGTGTAGATGTTTCAAACCTCAGATAACTTCATGTATTCACAAACACGTTACACGTTACACACATAACATTTGAACTAAGAGGTGATTTTTTTACACAAGTCACAAACAGTGGAACCGGAGGTCCAGATCCGAAGCAGCTGGAGGAACAGTTGGTAACTAATGAGGTGACTTCTCTTCAGCTCCGTCAGAGGACATGAACAGAGACTTTAGAAGTAAAGATGGGCAGAGGCTCAGCAGTCTGTCCAAAACTACAGGAACAATTTCAGAACAAAGTTCCTGAATGAAATACTTTAAACTCATCTCTAGTTCATAATCTGATCCACAGATTAAGATATAATCCATAGATTAGAAGAACCTGAAGAAACCTCTGAGCTCTGAGGACGAGGCTGAAGGTCACAACTGGATTGTTCTACTTAACTTTCTTAGACATCCATCCATCATCTTCCTCCTGTTCTGGACTCAGGTCTCAGGGCAGCATCTTGAGCAGGGAGGTCCAGACATCTCTCTCCACGGCCTCTTCCAGCTCTTCTGGGAGGACTCCAAGGTGTTCCCAGGCCAACTGTATCCTGGGTCTTCCCCGGGGTCTCCTCCATCCATCCATTATCTTTACCCACTTCTTCCTTTTTCGATCACTAGTGTCCTTATCCAGCAATCACTGTGTGAGAGGTGGGGGACACCTGGACATGTCTCCAGTTTATTACAGGGACACCTGGACAGGTCTCCAGTCCATCACAGGGACACATAGAGACAAACGAGACAAACAACCATTCTCTCTCTCTCATCTAGAGACAATTTAGAGTTACCAATCAGCCTAACATGCATGTTTTTGTTCTGTGGGAGGAAACCGGAGCACCCGGAGAAAACCCACGCATGCACGGAGAGAACATGCAAACTCCACCCAGAAAGGCCCCTGGACAGGATTTGATCTGGCAACCTTCTTGATGAGGCAGCAGCTCCATCAGCTGCACCACTGTGCTGCCCAGCCCTTTTTTTGATCTCCAGTACTGAGAAATCTTTTCATTGTAAGGTCACATTAATAAGAGGTTGGTGTAGTGATTGTCATCTTACCAGTTGAGTGTTTTACTGACGTAGAAAACATCAAATGTGCCAGTTGGTTCCTGATCACCAATGGTGGGACTGATTAAATCCAAAATAAAGACATATAATTAGGAATCCTGAACTGTTAGTTGATTTGTCTTATGACTTTTAATCAAAATGACTTCTACATGCAACTTCTGACATCCTGGGGTGCAGAATGAACACACTGTGACACACAGCCGCCTCATGCAGCAGAGCACATGATGGAACCATGTGGACAAGTTGGCGCTCTGGTCGTCCAGAGATGTGACTTGTTCAGCAACAATGTACAGTAATGTGTGAACACTCAGCAGAGTCCCTGCTTGTGCTGAAGTTAGTGAGGCGTGTGTATCCAACATGACAATCAGAAGGTCCAACTGTTTGTTGGGTGTGAAGAATTAATTACTGTATATAATAATGATGTAAAAATAAATGATTTATTAGTTACTGGAGAGCACACGGAAGCATCAGGCTGACCTCTTGATGCTTGAAACTATTTACCATTCTGTTCATTTTAGCTGTGAACTAAACTTTTGCTAATTTGGGCTTTTAGCCTCCGATCAGAATCTTTTAGCTTTTAGCTACTTTTAGCTACTCATTTTGACTTTTAGGTAGTTTTTCTGCTTTAAGCTTTAACTGTTTGCTACTTTTAACTTTTAGTTACCAACGTACTACTTTAAGGTTTTAGCAACATTTCTCTACTTACAGCTTTTAGCTAGTGTTTAGCTTCTTTTAGATAGCAATTTGTTGTTTTTAGCTAATCATTTAAACCTTTTGAATTTTAACTAGCATTTTTCTTTCCTTAGCTTTTAGCTTATCATTTTTTCTTTTAGATTGTATTTACCATTTTTCTACTTTTGGCTTTTAGCAATTATTTAAATATTTTTTGTTTTTAGCTACTATTTTGCTTCTTTTAGCTTTTATCTCATGTTTTTATTAGCTTGAAAAACTATTTGTTGTCAACGTGTGGGTCATTTAACATTCAGTGTTTACAATGCTTCTTTTGTTGCAAAACAATGTAATTTGTCAAGTTATGACCGGTGGCCTAAATATAAATGATGGATTTCATCTTATAATCAATCAACCTTTATTTACACAGGTAAATCTCATTGAGCCTCGAGGACTCATTTACAAGTTTATTTTCTCATTTAGAACCCTCCGTGCTCAGAATGGCAGGTTGTCTGAGCCACTTCAAGCCCAATAGACGGCGGGTTTACTGAGACCCTGTAGGAGCCTTTAGCCCCCGTATCGTCTAATTTAGCCCCCGTATCGTCTAATTTAGCTCTCCCCATGACACCAAACCCTGAAGGGAATCCAATCCCCAACTCTTCCTGCTCCTCTGCTCTTGCAGGTCTGTGGAGGTCTTGATGGGGAGGCCTTTCTCTGTTAGAGCGATGACAGATGGGACACGATGAGGCCTCCCCCCACCCCCTCCCTGTAATCCTCTTCTCTCTGACATCCTTCTCTTCAGAGCTGCCGCTGGCTGCTCTCCCTTCTTCTCACTTTTCATCTCTCAGCAGTCTGCTGCTTGATGTTTGTCTGTTGGAGAGCTTCCTTTGTGGTCGACAGACAGAAGACGTTGCTCTAATATCAGATACGTATCAGAACCGTTAGCAGTAGCTAACGGTTAATGACCTGGATGTAAAACAATGACCTAATAAAAGTAGAGCAAAGCTGCTCAGGGCAGCACGGTGGATCAGTTGGTAGAGCTGCTGCCTCTCAGCGAGCAGGTCCCTGGTTCAAATCCCGGTGCAGAGGCCTTTCTGGGTGCAGTCTGCATGTTCTTTCCGTGCTGCATGAGTTTCCTCACACAGGCCAAAAACATGCACGTTAGGCTGACTGGTAACTCTAAACTGTCCCTACGCGAGACAGAGAATGGTTGTTTGTCTCGTTTGTCTCTATGAGTCCCTGTGATGGACTGGAGATCTGTCCAGGGTGTCCCCACCTCTCTCAAAGTGACTGTTGGACATGGACACCAGTGACCCTCGCAACCTGAAAAGGAAGAAGCGGGTAAAGATGGATGGATCAGAATCAGAATAAACTTTATTATCATTGCACTGAGATACAACGAGAACATGTACGTACAGTCGTCCGAAAGATGGGCGGAATGCACGAAGCTGCGGCTATTAAATAGAGCGGCCCTCTTATTCTTATTCAGAATAATATTTTGCTTCTATGAGAAAAGGAAAGAAAACATGAGGAGAGATGGTATAAAAAAAAGATCTCTCACTCCGTGTCCTAGACAGGGCACGATTTGAGGCATCAAACAAACCTCCCACAGCAAAGCAACATGAACAGATGTTACACATGAACATATAGGCCGTGAAGACAGAGAAGTTTTAAGAGAAAGTCGTAGCATAGTCCAGAGCCCCCCTCAGCCATTGTCCAGATAAGAGGTGACGTTCATCTTCAGCTCAGCTGAGGTTCTGTTACATGTCCACGGCCTTGGGGGAGGGAGGGGTGAGTTCTAGAACAGCTCCGCTCCAGGTGGCTGCATGTTGGAGCAGCTCTCTTTCATTCTGAGATTTTGTTTTTGGAAACTTTAATTCCTTTTTTTCTGGAAGTAAATCACATTTTTTGGATGATTGTTTCCTCTGGTATCAGATGCTGTGCAGCTGGAAGGATTTTTACTGAAACTTTTTTAGTTTTGGACATTTGTTATGATGCGTAACCATGGCAACAAGGCAGTTTCTACAACAACAGCAGCTGATTAACATCTCAAAAGCTCAAATAATATCTCAACTACAGCCCCAAATCTCAAATGAGTTGAAAAGGATGTTCTGTGGACGCATTCTCATCTACCTGCCAGCTGTGCTGGAGTGCCTGACCACTGAGATCCTGGAACTAGCAGGAAACACGGCTCATGACAGCAGAAGGACAGGATCGTCCCTCGGCACCTACAGTTGGCTGTCCGCAGCGACGAGGAGCTCGGCAGACTGCTGGGAGGAGTGGCCATCGCTCTGGGAGGAGTTCTGCCCTGCATTTGGGCGGTCCTACAGCTCGGGGGAACCTAGAGGCCAGCCGAGTCTGGGTGGACGGATCAGACGGCATCTGCAGCCAGTTTCTTAGGATCCACTGTGGGATGGACCTTTACAAGAGATCCTTCCTGTCTACAGCATCAGCATCTATAACATCTCTTAATGAAATGAGGATAACGAATTACAACAACAAATAATTTCCCTCTGGGATTAATAAAGTATTTTTGAATTTGAATTTGACAAAGCATCTTTGTTGTTTTCTGAACATTCCAGGAGGAGTTGAGATAAGTCCGGCACCAAGGCCACAGTTTGGGTCAGGCAGAACTCATGAATTGTTGTTTCTGCCTTTAAAGTCTCGCTAGTACATATTCTCTGATGGAACTCCAAAACAGCCAAATTGATCCTTTACTCCAAAAGTCAAGCTCACAGCTTCTCCAGATTATTCCACCATTCATGAGTGCTGCCAGGGAGAACACAGTCCTGATAACAGCTGCTCCAGCTCCCTGCTGCAGCTCCACAAATTCAGTCTGAGCACTGTCGAGCTTCGACACATCCACAAGAATTTATAGACAATCCGGAATTCACCAGCCAAACAGCAAAATAACCAGTTGTCATCATGAATCCAATTTGTTTCCATCGAGGTCAGAGGGTCCTCCTTACCCTGACTCCTGTCAGGAGAAGTTGATCAATTTTGTTGAGAGACCAGCTGAACCTTCCAATTAAGAGGTATGCAGATTTAAAAAAAAGGCTTTTTAAGGGTTCACAGGACAAAAGAGTGCAGCAAGGAAGCGGGTGGGGGGGCAGACATGGAAACACATCTGGTTTCACCGGAGGATAGAGGGAAACAAAAAAAAATGGATGGATGGATGGAAAGCTGCTCAAACAGCAGGTCACTCAGTACTCCCTGCCATAGGGCTTTAGCTTCACATTTATGTATGTATTTAATTGTATTTGTATGATGTATTTATATGTATTTATATGCATTTATATGATGTATTTATAGGTATTTATATATATTTATATGATGTATTTATATGTATTTATATGTATTTATATATATTTATATGTATTTATATGATGTATTTATATGTATTTATATATATTTATATGTATTTATATGATGTATTTATATGTATTTATATATATTTATATGTATTTATATGATGTATTTATATGTATTTATATGATGTATTTATATGTATTTATATGATGT